AAATAGCTTCTAAAAAATAATAAACTGAAAACATCTCCTTCTTGTTCATTTGGCCTGGAGGCCTGCTTGGCCCAAAGGCCTGATCGCATGTTCGGCCCAGCAGCCGCTCGCGCAGCGCGCACCCGCGCCCAGGCCGCAACCTGGGCCTGGGCCGAGAAAGTGGCATCCTGCCTGGGCCGCTTTCGACCCGACCGTGCTCAGCCATCGATGGAGATCGGACGGCCGTCCACGCCCAGTGGAGGATCAAAAGGCACCCGCGGTCGCCGTTCCCCTAAAACCACAGTTCATTCCTTCCCTGCCCTTCTCTCTCTCGCGCCGCACGCGACAGCGGCGGCAGCCGTGGTGGCCGTCGGCGCCGGTGAGGGGTGGTGCCGCCCGAGCTTGTCCGGCTCCCCTTCCTTTCTCTCCACTGTGCCGCAGACAGTAGCCGCAGCAGCCGTCGGTGAACCGTACGACGATGGCGGCCCGAACTCGCGACGCAGGAGGAGATGGCGCCACCGTGGCGCCCCTCGCCGGTGCATGCGTGCGGCCTGAGCCGTGCGCGGCGCCGTCGAGCGGTACCGTGGTGGTGCCCTTTTGGGACCCCGAGCTCGTACGCACGACGCAGCGGAGCGCCGGCGAGGTGGCGGCTCGGCACTTTCTCTTTGCTCTCGCGCACACAGACACTACGGCGACCTGAGGCAGCGACGGCCACCCGAGGCGGCCAGAGCGGCAACGGCGTCCGCGCGTGGTGACTCGGCTCGATCCGCCCGCGCGACGGTGGGCCTTCTTACCGCTCTATGGCGGTGGTGACGGGGTGGAAGAGACTCGCGTAGGTCCCCTCCCCTCCATCCTTCCATTTCTTTCTTTTCTTTTAGGGTTAGGGTTTCGATTCCTCTTTCTTGATCCTTGTTGCTCTGTCCCACGCGCTGTTCGGGAGTGACGCCGCGGTCTCCTTTCCGCGCGGTGGCGATGCCACCGGCGGTGAGGAAAAGCCCACTTTTCCGGTACCCGATCTAGGGTTAGGGTTCGATTTGCTTTTCTTTCCCCCCGATCTAGATCCACATACTAGACTGGCTCTGATACCAATGTAAATACCACTATTATCTCTAGGTCTAGGATCTAGTGGGGACACTTCGTTTTTTGGGATGAACAAGTAGATTCGAGAGAGAGACGATTTACCGATCATCCGAGGGATTGGAAAAGGAGCTGGCAGCCATCACAGGTTCGGCGGTGAAGTCTGCGCACGGGCAGCGACGTTTGGTGTAGCTGTGGAGACCGGCGGTGGTGGAGGCAGTGGCGCTTCCCGCCGCTGGCAGTGCCACCCTCTGGATCGGATTAGGGTTAGGACAGTGGGGCTGTGGCGGCGGTGAACCTCGTTTTTAAGAGCCGTTTGCCCCACCTCCTCTTTATAGGCACTGTGCGACGGGGGCCCACCAACCACTAGATGGCTGGACGTCCCTAATCAGGACGCGGTCAAGAGGTCCGTCTCGACCGTTGGGTCAAGACGGATGAGATCAATTCTAACACTTGGAAGATGGTAAAAAGTAATAGGGGTGGTGATGGTCTCACAAGAAGCTCCAAGAGGAATGAAAGAGTTAGTGATCTCACAAGAAGCTCAACAAAGAACAGAACAATTGATAATCACACGAGAAGCTCAAAGAAGAATAAAAGATCTTATCCTGCAAGAAGGTCAACAAAGGCCAAACCAATTTGCAATGAAGGAGAGAAAACCGGGTTACCAATTTCAGGTCTGATGGTCCTTATTTTACTCTGCTCATGTTTCTTGCAGCCCTATCTGATTGTCCTTATTTTACTTTGTTCATGGGTATGTTCAAGCAGAATCACTTAGTATGGCTCAGCTCAAGTTGTCGTCATATGTTCATCGTGTGCGCTGTGCGCTGATCCTCTGCACACAATTTTACGTTAATGTTACTTATTGTATGTAATATTAACTTACATTAGTGCTAGACACTTGACCTATTGATATTGTTGCACCAGTACATGGAGATGGGTTTAATGGGGATCGATTTGGGGATCTAGAATCCTTGGGTTATCCTGAACGTCCAGAAACAATGTTAACTGGTGAGTCAATGCCTATAAATATTTGTTTAAAAAAATGCCTATAAATATTGATTTCTCATGCATTGTATTTTTTTCCCTTTTTTGATGTCCGACTTACAAGTATTGTACATTGTATTTTCAACCAGATTGCATTTTGGTTAATAGTTTTGAAGAGCCTTTCGGTGACACACATGATAAAGGTGTCTGGAGCGAACTAAAGGAAACAGTTGCCACCAACATAGATGAAAATATCGTTGCACTTGCTTCATTCAATAGTGATTTTGCAGTATTGTGCTGTTTACTATTTCATATCTGTATCTAACCACAGGTTCACAACTAACTAATGATCAATTACGGTATTCAAGAGAAAAAAGTTTTTTTGCATGCACAGGTTGCTTTATTGAATTGAATGGATGTACCACTATTCTAACGTGAGCGAGCTTGATTAGACATTCCCGTCGTGCAGATTGTGGGGTCTTAATTGTGTCGTTTGCAGATTGAAGTGTTCCTTCCAAGCAAAGAACGAGCAGCCGGAATATTACAATATTATAATTTACATTACAATATTGCTCTAGTTAGGGTCAACGATTACAGTCCTAGCCATCCAATAAATATTCAACATCGGCAGCGTGATAATCGTGAAGTACTAGCTGTAGGCCATATCTTCAAATCCGGCGAATTAATGGCTAGCATGGTGTGTGAACATGATTGCGGATATCTCCGTTTTTCTAAGTGTAGAATCACTCAAGTATGTGTGCTATCTTCTCGTATTATTACACAGTTGAAGATCATGGTTGTATTGGAGTATGAGTTAATGACCGTATCTGTTTGACATTACTGATGACAACTTCTCTGTGTCACCTGGCTAGGCTGGAATTGGAGGGCCCCTTCTTGATTTTGACGGGAAATTTGTTGGCATGAACTTCTACGACAAGCATGCAGGAGGAACCTGGTACCTAACATGGGAAGAGATTCTCCACGTCCTGGGTCATTTTGAGACAAAAAGGTATGTTTGGGTATTCAGGTGCTTGTCATGCGGTGTATTCAGGTTTCAATAACGTACAGGAGTTGTGCGAGCAATCAAACTATTTATTGAAGCGGGGTCAGTAAAGCATAATAAGCAATTTACTATATTCTTTGGCGTGTTTAATAGGACTGTTGATGAAGCTGGTCATGATGATTATGCATCTAATAAGCTTGACTGGACTATAGACGGAGATCACAGTGTCAGGATTAATCGGTAATTTGGTGCATCAGTTACTATAAGTTCAATGTTTCGTATAAATTTGTGGATGACATTGTATCGTGGCCATATTATTGATGACAGTTGGTTCGTGCCATTGCCATTTTGGTGTCGTCCTGATGCTCTGAAAAGGTATGGACCTAAAATGCCAATCAGAAATTTGACCCGCGACGTAGAGCTGACTGGAGGGTCATGGAAAATGTAGAAGGTACAGCTGTGAATGGAGTGGCATTGCAAGTGTAGAAGCATTACGTCCAATTGTAGTCCATTGAATTGCAATCTCCATATGTTAGGATCTATAAATCTGTTTGGCCTGACAAGCATTCAGAAGTACGTACCCCAGATGTACTTCTGAATGCCACATGTAACCTGACACTTCTGAATAGAGTAACCTGTTGCCACATGTACGGTGGTGCCCTGTTCTTAAGTTACTGTCCTTGTTTTGGTAAACTTTCACCGTGCTGATGTTGTTCAATTCCACTTGGTAAACTGCCACGTGCTGCCGCAAACTCATGTGCACTTTGGCCCTGTTCGGTTCTCTTATAATCCGTACTTTTTAGCTTGTTTTTTCAACCGAAACAGTGTTTTTCTCTTACAACAAATTAGCCGGAACAGTGTTTCGGCTCGTTTTTTCAGCGAATCGAACGGAGGCTTTACCTGCGAGGATTCATCCTGATCCTGACCTCCAAATGCCTTGTGCATTGGCTCCTGTATCAGAAAGCTAGTATGTGCCTAGAACCCGAGGCCCTATGGTTCTATACAGTGTTCAAAGTTCTATACAGTGTTCAAAGACCAAAAACCAAAATCTGAACAAGTTAACAGAGTCAATGCAGTGTTGTCAAATGGCAGCTACCAAGTGCAGCTCTCTCATAGACTCGTACTAGTACCACTTCAATTGAATGTCGTTTTCTTTAACTATTTTCCACTATCTGCTCTCCCTTCGGCAATGGGTGGAATATTTTTTTTGTACAGTTATGGAATATCTTTTTTCTACACCTATAGATATGATCTAGTTATAGATCTCACTTTGATTAATTATTTCCCCTCATCCACGCTTATACGTCCCTCCTTAATTATTTTTTTCTAAACATTTATTTAATCCCCTAAACAATTATAATGTTGGTATTTTTTACAACACCACATTCTAAACGCACCCCTGCTTACGCATGTTAGGGCCTCTATGACAGAGCTCCAAAAGCAATTTCTAAGCTGGATCCAGAGAAGTTCTGCTAAATGATTTTTTTTTTCTAACAAATTATTCTCCTTACAAATTATAATGTTGGTATTTTTTACAACACCACATTGTGAAGTGATTTTCTGAAATGAATCAACAGATTTGGATCTAAAAAATGGCTTCTCCTTACTCACTCCGTGCATAGAATTACTTTATGAAAAATAGTTTATCCTAATTTTTTGAGGGGTTAAATAGTTTATCCTAATAAAAAATCATTTTCAACAATAGAATCAATTCCTACGGATTCTGCTATGCCAAACAGGCCTTACACCTTTGCGGGGCGTCTATTGGGCCCGTTGGGCCGAAAAACAGGAGTGGACATGGACAGCAGCAGGGGCTCTTTCCACATCGACACGGGTGGGTTGAATAACTGGAGTCTGGATGGAACCATAGACTCCCAGTCTCTTCCTTCCCCCAACCCGCTCAAAACCCTAGCCCAACACCACAGGGTCGCCGACGCTCGCCCGGCCGCCGGGGACGATGGCGAAGCCTCGGCGCGGCCGCTCCGCGTCTCGCTCCTCCTCGGGCTCTTCCTCCCGCTCGCCGTCCCACTCCGTCTCCTCCGGCTCCGTCTCGTCCCGCTCCCGGTCGCGCTCCCGCTCCTTCTCGTCGTCGTCCTCGCAGGCCCGGAGCCGCTCCCCTCCTCCGGCTAAGCGCAGGTGAGGCTCGACCCTACACCCTATAGATCCACTGTTTTCTAGGCTAATTTATTAGGTTTTGTTGCATTTGTTCGGAGTTTGTTTTTGGGTGTGTGCTGTTTGTTCGTCGGGGTAGCGAGTTATCCCCCGTTTCAACGTTTATACTTATTTGAGTGTCGCTTCGTTAAACCCTAGTGCCTTCAGTAACTTCGTCATAAACCTTGAGGACTGGAGTATTTAGTACGAGGCTGCTTGATTCAGATAATTTTACACTTCAGGTGGGGCTTGCGTGTTCAGACTACTTCTGTTGAATACAGTTACAGTTTGTCCTTGTGGCACTCAACAGTATGGATGCTGTCATTCAGCATTGAACAGAGCCAGAGTTTGGTAACAGCTTTCTAATGCTGAATTCCGTTTTTCAATCATGTTCGTGATAGACTGGAAACATAAGTTAATTGTGTGACCCTGCATTCAGAATTCAGATGGACACCTTTGATTGGTTCCAATTCCCTGCTGTAGGCTTATTATTTAGCTGTGCCTTTCGCATTTTCTGTAATAGCAGCTGCCTGCGCTGACTAGCATTTGGTACCCAAATCAATTTGTTGACACCATTTTATTGACTGATGAATCAATCATGCCCCATGCTTTTGCTTCGCTCTGGCAACATGTTTTTATTGCTGTCATGGGCTCATGGCAATTTAAAGTCTTCTCATATATGAAGTCATGTAGTTACACGACGTACATTCTGCTTGAACATGGTTGTTTGGTATTTTTCTCATGAACTGTAATGTTTCTTATGCTGGTTCTCTTTATCTTGGGTGCTACTTCTGGATACTGTTGTCTGCCCAGTTCGCCTGGAGCACGAAAAGGCCGATCACCTTCGCCGCCCCCTAAAAAGGGCTCACCCTCAAAGAAAGTCCGTTCGCCATCACCACCACCTAAAAAGGCTTCACCCCCTAGGTATATACAAGTTTGCATATAAACTGCATATGTTACTTTAATTCTCAGGCTATGTTTATTGATAATTATATATATTTATAGCGTGCTGTTTCACTTGTTACTTGCCTATCATTTTTTATCTTGTATATATGAAGTAATTGTAGTTTGTCAAATAGGATGCTGTATATGGGCTAATGATACAAAGGATCTTCAATTCTTATTATATTGGAAGCTGCAGCTCCACATGTTACTAAGAAAATGTCATAGCAGCATCTGATAAATTTCTTTGTGGCTGTGATGTTGCTGCTTACTGTTCATAACTCTATCGACTTCTTTTGCCCTATATTTTTCTGGGGAAGTTTCTATCATGTGCATAACATGCTGTTGGGCTTTTACTGTTATGTCTATAGATTTCATCTGTTTCCCCAGGAACTTTGCATGGTTTTGTGTTCCCTGTTTTCACATCTACCTCTACATGTAACTCTCGCGCCCTAAATTATTGAAGAAATGGTTATTGGTTTCAGGAAAGCGTCACCTCCTGCTGAGTCGGCTGTTCTCTGCATTGATCACTTATCAAGGAATGTTAATGAGGCTCACTTGAAAGAGATATTTGGTGAGCTTGTGTTTATATTTTCATGCACTTTATTCTGTTGGAACTCGGAAGTCTATTGTAATGATTGTAGTCACAGTGAAGAGACCCAAGATAGTGAAATTATATTTGCATTTCTGTGAATTTGCCTTGTGTGATTGTCACTTGAGTGACCTCTTAGCGTTTAGGGAAAATGCTGATAAGATGCATTTTTAGTATTGAAATTTCTACAGTCTACATTATGGTTGGAGCCATTATATATTTTTATATCTAACTCCAACAATCATGTGTTGCATGATTTACACATGTTAGGTTGGTTAAACACACTGATCTTCCCACTGGTAGCCTCATGCAGTGGGGATGATCCTCTTTCTATAGTAATCGGCCAACTGGCTTGCTGATTCTAGTAGGATTTTACTGTTGTTCCAGACATAATGTGCATTTAACAAACTCTTACATACAAAATAAAAATAAACAAGTGCTTTTGAAAAATTGTCATGTTGCCAAATGAATCCAAACACTATATTCGAGTAATTATCTGTATTTTCAGGAAACTTTGGCGAAGTTGTGAATGTGGAGCTATCAATGGACCGAATGGTAAGTGAATGTGTTGCTCTCTTATTCTCTTATTCTGGGATCTGTGCCTTGTGCTCTCCTTAACACCTACTATTTGTTTTCTTAGGTTAACCTTCCTCGTGGCTATGGATATATTGAATTCAAGAAGAGAGCTGATGCTGAGAAGGCTCTTCTTTACATGGATGGTGTATGCATTCTACCCTATGCTTATTCTGTCTTTTTTTGTTGAAAAGTAAATGACCAACAAGTTCTTCTAAAAATCTGTCCAGGGTCAAATTGATGGAAATGTTGTTAAGTTGAGATTCACTCTTCAACCACGCCAAAGGGCTGCATCACCTATGAAAGCTCCGCCCCCTCCTCCAAAAAGAGACGCTCCCCAGATTGAAAAAGGTGTTAGCAGTGCTGAAAAGGATGCCCAGCAGCGTCCTAGGGAATGTAAGCTTCTGAAGCTTTGAAACTATATAATCACTATTCCTTATTCTTCGCTTGTTACTTCTGCTCGTATCAAGGAACTCCCCCCCTGAAGGTGCATGTTCAGCTCATGATGATTTAATTGTTTACATACTTGTCTGCAGCATCTCCACGAAGGAAGCCAGCTTCACCTCCACGGAAACGATCTCCAAATCGAAGGGCTGAATCACCCAGGCGTCCACCTGACCCATCACCTAGGCGTCGTCCTGATTCTCCGCCTATTCGTCGCCGACCAGATCCTTCTCCTGTCAGGCGTGGTGACACACCTCCTCGCAGGAGACCACTGTCTCCAGTTAGAAGGCGCTCTCCTTCTCCACCACCTAGGAGGCATAGGTCACCGATGCGGTAATCAATGCTTAAATAACTTCTATAAATCTATAAGATCTGTGAATGGATCACTGGGATTGCTAACGCTATTTTCTCAACCACAGTCCTTCACCTAGGAGGGGACGTGGCAGCCCATCACCACGCAGGCGCTCCCCTGGGCCTCTTAGGCGGCGGTGAGTTTCTTTGAGCTTCTCTATTTACCAGTTTTGTGCAATGCCCTTTCATACAAAAGTGGCCATATTGTGCACTTCCCTGATGTGCTAAAACTATGTAGTATTCTCCATTTTATATTCCATAGCTGTGGACTACACGTGCCTATCCCTGCTAAATGTATCAAGTATTCTCTATTTTATATTTCATAGCTGTGGATTAGATGTACCTTTTTTAGATAATACAAGTGGATTAGATATATGTATCCCATGTTTATAATTAATTGCTGTTCTACGCATGATCCTGTGATTGGTTTCTAAGCTCTGTACTCATTACACTTCTAGTATTTGGATACTTGTTTTGCCCCTTTTATTTTTCATGTCTTGGTTCGTATTAAAGTTTTGTTGACCTTTTTAGTCCTCCGCCTTATTCTGCTTGCTTAACTGCTGTGCTCATTCCTTCTTTTCCCCCCTCTAGCTCGCCACCTCCAAGGCGGTTGAGGAGCCCACCAAGAAGGCCACCACCTCCACGTCGCTCTCCTCCTCGCCGACCCCTTCGCTCCCGCTCCAGATCAATTTCTCCAAGAAGGTAGTGGATCTGCTGAAATCTACCAGCTGATGCTGTTCCTCTTTTGCACCCTGACAATTCTGATTTTCTTGTATAACGCAGGGGACGAGGGCCTCCGTTGAGGCGTGGTAGGTCAGACTCATCATATTCTCGATCACCTACTCCACCGCCAAGAAAGGTGAGTGCTACAACTGATATGGTATTTGTAGTATCAAACACAAAGTAATGTTGTTTTCCCCCCTCTGTTGCTGGTCATGCATGCATTGTAATATTGACTAAGTGCTTAAATGTGTTTCTTGTATAGGGTCCAAGAAGGGTATCAAGGAGCCGCAGCCCTAGAAGGTAACATATGTATTTGTTTTGTAATGATAGTTTTTTCTGGTGTTTTTGCATATGCCAAGAGTATTCCATAACTGAAAATATCTCTGCCTGCAGGCCTCCTAGAGGAAGAAGCGTCTCTAGTGACAGCAGAAGCAGCAGTTCACCTTCCCCTAGACGCGGCAGGTAGAAGGAACCCGTGGCATTGTGTATCCGGCAGGTAAAGCCTTTTATCCCTTGACTCTATCTGTATCGTTTGCCTGTGCTTGTGACTTGCTGTGAGCTCAAGTGTTTGTTCGAGGAGAAGATAGAAAACCCTACGGCAATGCTTCTAATGGATCTACTTAACATGCCCGGTGGACTCTCTGGCTTGTGATTTGTACCCGAGACAAAGTTATCTGCTATGTTGGCTTATGTACTTGATCGTACTGAAGTATTTTGAGGTTCTGAACTTGTTTCCTCACAGGAGTCTGGATCTAAAAATTTATGTGGTAAACCATTGTGCTAATCGGTGTCTGAAGTGTTTATTGGATCTTTCGTTTAATATGTCGAAAGTTTTCGTCAATTTTGTTGGAAAGAGTTCCTCGACACTGCCATTGTATGATTGCATTGATCAACCAATTGATGCGTGTAATTTGTATATGCACGTCACACTTGTGAAACTGTGACATACGACTAGCGCTGTAGTTGAGACTTGAGACGCAGGCGCACTCACGGCAAAATTTCAGCCTAATTTTTGGTTTGGACTGTTCTTTGGTCTGTCCACTATAATCCACAAAGAGCATGGCTATCCGATATCCAGCCCGTGCACGACACGACCTGGTAGCCAACAACAACGAACCCAGATCGAGTCCAAAACAGAATCACATACCAAATAAAGGCCACCAACCATATACATATATAATAATAAAAAGTCGAGCACAAAATCAACGGTCTGCCGACCACAGCAATCGCCAAAAATCAATCCATCCATACACGAATCGATGGAAGAGGAAATCAAAGAAAGAATTGAATCGACAAAATCAGAGAAAGAATCGAAGAGGATATCAGACAAGGTCGCGCCTCCAGGGGCGCCCGCGCCCCCGCATCCGCGTAGGGCAACCGCGCCATGGCCTCCCCCACGCGCGCGGCCAGGTGCTCTCATGTTACGATTCCCCCGGGCCGCGCGATCGGAGTCTGGCACAGGGAGCGGTACAGGCGACGCGAGCGGAGGCCGGCGCAGGGAGCGCTGGAGGCCACGCGAGGCCGCAAGCAGAGGCTGGCGTGGGGAGCAGCGGGCCATAGGTGACGCGGGTAACACAAAAAAGAAGTGCTGGTGGTTCTTCTCTGGCCTCATATCACTTCCCGTCGTTTGCCTCTCCTGGAGCTTTCACATGGTGGTTTGCCGGTTGGAGCTGGAGGTAGGAGGCGGCGGTGCATGCTGAACATATGGCTGGAGTTAAATCCGATTTACTTTCTTACATTGACTAGGGTACAAGCCTAATGCTAGACCGGCCCAAAACTACTACTGTCTTTGGTGCGTTCCTACAGGCTGACCCAAACCTACCTCTTTTATTTTCTTATATAAATATAAATATTCATTGATGGTCTAATTTCTCATATTAGAAAAGTTTAGATATAAAAAATAATTAATATATTCCACGTAATAATAAAAATCCAGAATGGTAATACCGAATGCACCGGTACCGAAATATACCGTTCCAAAGAGCAAACCAGAGTGACCACCAGAATGGAATTTACAAGTTAGCTATTTGATCCAGCGTGTGAACAAAGGTTAGCAGGAAGACAATTTTAAGAGTTCCGAGTAAATCCAATCAAAATAGCTACTCCTTTCATCCCACGAAAGTCGACATTTTAGATTTGGACACGAGTGGCAAAGGCCTGGTTCAGCGATGCAAGCTCACCGTGAAAGGTGTGTGCCCCATGTTTCTCGTGCGGAGTCTATGCACTCCAAAAATCCCCTGGTTGAAGAATTTCATATAAAAATGATGGGGGAAAATATATGAAAGGTAAATGTGCAATGGCATTTAAGACTAAATGATACGGATCATTCAAATCTGCGGGAAAAATGAAGCAGATTCGAACCTGCGTTACGGAGGAAGCGAGGAGGAGGAATCAATTGGTGCGACGATGATCATCTCAATCTCGTTATTCTCCTATCGGCGACATTCTTGCTGTTTGCGTTCCTATCCCTGTTTATTACGGAGGAGCGTTTGTAGCTTCAACCCTCCCATACACCGAGCCAAAGCTATTTTAGTGGCCAGAGCCGGAGCCCGGAGCGCCAAAAGTTGGCTCTGCAGGTAGGCCTTCGACTCTAGCTCCGACTACAACATAGGACACATGGCCCAAACACGCGCCCTTATATTATGGTTGCCAAAGTGATCGTAGAATAAATTAAATCTATTAAATTTTTTCTAGAAAGGATAAAAATAAATAGATACGTAATATCTCATCATAAAATTTTATTAAAGTTTAATAGTTTTTCTCTCCCGTTGCAACGCACGGACATATTTGCTAGTAATAAAATAAAGAGTGAAGTTCACGGCAGCCCTCGAATTTGTGCGGGCGTGTTATTCTGGTCCTTAAACTTAGAAATTGTGTTATTCTGGTCCTTAAACTTTATGTCTCATTTTCATCCAAACGGATCTAGGCCTACATGTCACCTCTGTCTCATTTCTCATCGCCCTCGTGGCCATGGTCAGCTCGTGGGCACGTCGCTGTTCGCCCTGTGCTGTTGCGGCAGCGGCAACTCGCCTGAGCGTTGGCAGCAGCAGCGGTGGTGCTTGACCGCGCGCCGACGGCAGCGGCTGCTTGCCCGCGCGCCTGTGCGCAGCGGCGGCAGCTCGTGTGCGTGCCTGTGCGCGGCGATGGCGCCGCGGCGACGGCACAGCTTCCCGTTCGGCACCTGCATCAACACGAGAACGTGATCCAGAACCCGGCCTTCGTCGACTTCTCACCAAGCACTTGGACTGGGGCAGCTCAAGTGGTACCACACGGAGGCGCAGCAGGGGCAGCTCAACTACGACTCCGACGCGCTGCTCGACTTCTGCGACCCTACGGCAAACCCGTGCGCGGCCACTGCATCTTCTGGGCCGTCGAGAACACCCTGCCAGCAGTGGGTCAAGAGCCTCGACGGCCTGTGCGGCGGCGACCAGCTCACGTCAGCCACTGTTCACGTCCAGTTCACGTCGGCCTGTTCGCGGCGGCGACGGCTCGCCCGCGACCCTGTGCAGCGGCGGCGGCGGCAGCGCGCCCACGCTCCTGTGCGGCGGTGATGGTGGCGTCTCGCCCCCACCAGCTTGCCCGCGCGGCTGCGTGGCCGTGGTGGCTGCTCGCCCGCACGCCTGCGTGGCGGCGGCGTCATGGCGAGAGGAATAGGACGAGTTTTTTTTTTCTTCAAAACAACCCTTATAAGTTTATAAATAATTATGTATTTTTTGTGTCTGGGTAATTTTGCATGTAACCCCGCTAATCTCCTATTTCAAGCAATCAAATCTTTTCTTATTACACGGGCATAGATCCATATCCGTTTAGATGAATATGAGACCCAAACAGGGTTTAAGGACCAGAATAACACACTTTTAGAGTTTGGGGACCAGGATGACACATTCCGAGGACCGGCCACGAACTTTACTCTAAAATAAACAATATCCAGTTCGTTTTTTAATCTGAAAAAAGGGAAGGGTCATTTCGCCATTCCCCGCTCTGCCTGTATCGTTGCGCCCTGTTGGCTTGGGCTTGTTTGGCTGATAAGTTATGGCTGAAAGTACTGTTGACTGATTTAGTGTGAGAAAAAAGTATTGTTCGTTGGCTAAAAAAGTACGGCTTATAAGCCAAACAAGCACAAGCGAACATGGTGTATGATTACAAGGTGCTTTATTTATTTTGGGGCTGCCTATAAGACACGAGTGTGTCTTGTGTTAAAACTTGAGGGCCACTTTGGAACAAAGGATTCATGGAGGAATTTTATAAAATTCTAGACCTATAGGAAAATTTTCTATGTTGTCCTTTCGAACAAAGGATTGGCCATCCTAAAATCCTACAAAATTCCTATAAAATGGCTCAATCCATAGTTATTTTGGAAGAACTCTAACATGAGGTCTAACCTCAAAACTTTTCTCTGTCTCTCTCTTCTAATTCCCGTGTTTCTCCTGAGTTGTATCAAAATGCTCCATTAGAGAATTTCATGTGTTTTCAATTTATGTAGAATTGCAAGTGACATGCAACTCTAATCCTGTTTTTTTTTTCCTATTTCTGTGTGTTGAAAATCCTACGTTCCAAAAGGGGCCTGAAGGTAAACGGAAGAAATGTAAGTTTTGTTCCTTCCAAAGTTCCAAGTGAGTGGCAGTGCTAACAGTAATGTGTTAAAACTTGAATATAAATGGTTGTAAATGGAAGAATAGAATGTAAGAACTTGTAACTTTTCATTGATCTCTGCTGTTTATATAGACATGGTGAGGGACATGAGGAACTGACGGATTGTCTATTCTGAGAGAGGTCAGGTGTCTCTCTGTATGGCCAAGGCCAATCAACCGTTCCTATAGCTTGAGTTGGCAGGCAACCGTTCCTACTTCCTAAAGCTTAGTGTCAACTGTCAACTGACCTGCCTGATGCTTAGAGTTGTTAATAATGTTTGTAATGTTCCTAATCTAGCCTGTGATTGGATGAGTTCATCTTGGAGCAGACACCTCTTCTTCAAGTAGGATCTTGGATGGCCAACAACACACGATGTTGATCGAATGCTGTCCACCTTCTAGTTCCGGTAAGTGTGTATGCTGAAGCTTGTGAAGGTAGACAGGATGGATATAAGGCACGCGCCCTGGCGAGCGTCATCAGTCGGTAAATGTGACACGATAATAATATCATAGACAATTTATTAGGATACAAAGCACGTATAAGTTTAGTAATCGAGGCATAGATGTGCAAAGAGTATATAAGTTCAGTAATCGATGCATAGATGTCCATAGATTAGCATATTATAAGGTTTATTCCTAATATTGGATGCCATCCATTGGTTTCATGGCTTTACATAACAGGTCTATAGGTTGTACAGACAACATAAGGTCTGGTGACAAGACATTTACGACTGTAAACTGTGCTGTGGAAGCAGGGATTCTAGGACAATATACATGTTTTATTTATGGACTGCAAAGCAGTCTAGAATAATATACAAATTTATACCTACATACATATAGCAGTGTAAAAGGTAATAAAGAGCACTACATAGGCATATGTGACATGTGTTAATTCAGGATCAAATAGGACTCGAACTGAAGCCTCATGACCATCTCCTTGTGGTTATGTCTGGCGGTATGGTATGGTTAGTGCTGGTAACCAATAGAGGATTAGTTGTAATTGGAACCTGCAGCAAAATGTGTATCGATGTATGTGGATGTGTAGAAAATAAAACTATACAAGATGATAATGGAATAATAGATGACTAATCTCAGTTAATATACTGGTACGTTGGTGGTTGTATATGCTTATTACTTCCAATTATTATTTTCATTTTCAATATGGATGTGCTGTTAAAGGTCTTGTTAAGGCCTACAATTATTGCCAGTGAACCGAGAGGATGAAAGGAATCAGATCCGTTTGATAAGTAACATAGCCTTGTTAAGGCAATGGGTAAGTGTAAGTAACCGGGATACTAATATACAAAAGAATG